CCCCCCCCCCCCCCCCCAAGTTATCTTCTGTTTGCCATGAGCTTACTAGGAGGTCTTGAGCAGGAGTCCTGCTCTCTCATTCATCAGTCAGCAAAATGGGGAAAATAATTCTGAACTACCTTTCAGGGTTGTCTTTGCTAAGATTACCGAGGTAATCCATGGGCAATTCTAGGAACATGCAGAAGCATATAAATGAGTTTTATTATTCATAATATCTGAGGAATGTGGAGAACTGCATGCCCATTTTGTAAACGGATTAGAGGGCTTTGTGTATTTCCATATGTGCTTGTATTTTTATTCACAAACACACCTACAAATTTTGTTCAGCTCTGGCAGCACTGCAAATAAAGATATAAAGCATTTCTCCTGGGATGTTTGGGGGAATTGTTTATGTATGCATTTAAAATGCTTTGCACTTCATTTTTAGTTAAGTTCCCAAGGCAACTCAGTGGAATTAAAACAAACACCAACAAGAAGAAATCAGGAAAAATGAATTCAAGTTTATTAATGTATGATAATAATTGTGTGCTATCAAGTTGCAACTAACTCATGATGATCCCAGGGCCATGGGGTTTTAAAAGCAAGAGATGAACAGAGGTGGTTTACCATTGCCTTCCTCTGCATTGCAACCTCAGGCTTCCTTAATGGTCTCTAATCCAAGTACTGACCGTGGCCAACCCTGCTTAGCTTCCAGGCCCTGCGGGCTGGGTTAGGCTGCTTGTTAATGTACGCCACATTGTAAAATAATGGTTATTTTTGAAACCAAAGCAGTAAAGCCATTAAAAAGCAAAGCAGCAAAAGTTTATTGGCAGTAGTAAAGGTAAAGGTTCCCTTGCTCAAAAGCCAGTCGAATCCGACTAGGGTTGCAGTGCTCATCTCCGTTTCAAAGCCGAAGAGCCAGTGCTGTCCGAAGACGTTTCCGTGGTCATGAGGCCAGCATGACTAAACACCAAGGCGCACTGAACGCTGTTACCTTCCCACCGAAGTGGTACCTATTTATCTACTTGCAATTTCTTGCTTTCGAACTGCTAGGTTGGCAGGAGCTGGAACTAGAGATGGGAGCTCATTCCATCATGCGGCACCCGGGTCTCAAGCTGCTGAACTACTGACCTTCCACAGCCTGCAGTTCAGCGTCTTAACCACTTTAGCCACCGCGGCTCCTTATTGGCAGTAGTAGGACAGGTCAAAATACTAATAACCAAAATCATCATCATGAAACCACAAATGCCTGAGAAAAGGAGGAATGGTTTAACTGTCTTCTAAAACATTACAATTTATGTGCCAGACAAGCACAGCCTAGATGCCACAACAGAAAAGGCTCTGGTAGCCCCTAGCCATCCAACTTTCTTCTCAAGTTGGAGGAGCATTGGGCAGAATCTCTGAACAATAACAGATTGTTTCTTCTGAATATAAGTATATCTCTGTGCATTCTGGGATGTGTACACTATATTCTGCCTTTCACTGGTGTTCTTCACTTGTCTCCACTAAATAGCACATAGACTGGCTTGTGTCTGTGCATACTATTGTGTGATATGGACAGTGTTTCTGAGTGAAGTAACTCCTTAGTGGAGTTTCATTTAATTTTGAAGCTCAACTTTGTAGGAAACGCTGATTCTTCATATCTTTGCACTGTGGGATACCAAAGCGGATTACAGCAACAGGTTAAAAAAAACCATTAACCGTACAGCCTTCTGTGAATAAATTAGAATGTATACAAAAAGAGTCTACAACTTGCATTCATAGTAATGCAAACCAAAGTTAATACAGGATGGGAGGAGGGGCTGACAAGATTTCTGTCCTCCTTGTAGAAGTGCTAGTCTTGAGAGGCCCTCCCTTAGGATAGAGTTCCAAAAGCAGAGAGGCACAACAGAGATCTGTCTCATTTCTTTCGTGCTATTTAAGGAATTCAGTCAGTCCTATAGGGTTCTCTGCTCTGTATTCTACAACAGCCCTGTAAAGTAGCTTAGGCTGGGACAGAATAACTGGACCAAGGTCACTCAGGAAGCATAAAAGCAGAGGGGATTGGAACCTGGATCTCCTCAGTCCTAGCCCAACACTCTTCATTACTAACCCGCACCATGACACAGGCAGTCACAGCTTTAACCTTCCTGCTAGATGACTTCAGAAAAGGCTTCCATTAACAAATCTTGAAAGAATGTGCAGGAGTTCATAAGGGAGAAAGCTCTCCCAAAGCTATGCTGGCCTCGGGCTGCATAATAACCACCCCCTTGAGTTGAGTCTGAAGTCAACAGGCAAGCCAGTGCTTAGGCATGTACCACAGGGTGTGTTGATATCCTCTTCTGATCTGCCAAAGGGGACTCTGGGTAGCCTTTCTAATAACTTTTCACTTTGATGTGGCATTTGTCAGCAAGGGGTTACTTTGAAAACAAAAAGACATTAAAAGCTTGTTTGGTGTCTTTAAATGAATTTTTCTGCAGTGTAGAAATGAACAAATACAATCTGAAACATTTCATAACCTATTATCTGGGTATGGGTAAAGCAGAAATGCAGAATGTCGATAAATGGATTTTGCTTAAAATACACGTATCAAACTGATATGTCTTCAGTTCGCTGGCCATCTCTTCATTTGGGGTTCCATTGTTTACCGTCATACAAGATCACTGACAGCTAGAGATCTGAAGACCCAAGAAAAAAAGAACCTCCCCCCCCCCCCAAAGACAAACTGGAGAAACACTGAAGAAAAGTTCCTATGAACATTTTCTCTTTTGGAATGAGTGAAATGCTTTTAAAGAAAAGGTTTTACTCAAAATGTGTTGTGTGATTATAGTCTTGCATTAAAATCTACAGCATTAGGGATGATGGTTCCTGTGTATACAGTATAATAACATATATAGACTTTTCAAGGATGTATTTATTATTTAAATGTGACTTATTTTGTCTACAGTTAATATGGAATGAGACATATTAGGACAATCCATTATTGAAGAGTGCCTTTCTTCAATGCTAAAAGCTTTTACTTGGTATT